TCCCTACACCTGTTCTTCAAAAACCCGTGTGTTTAATGATTTGCTTCTCCAGCTTATCAAGACTTTGGAAAACATGGCTTTTCTTTAAAAGGTAGGACAATTTTAGCAGAGTGGACCAGCTTCTCTTGGTTGTTTACAAACCAGTCACAGGAGACACTTGAATCCGCATATGGAACTAAAATGTCCATGAGGTACTGGAGCAGATCAGCTCATAATATTAACAGAGTCTGGAGCTGAGGACATGTTTTCCATCTTTTCAGTAACTCTGAGTTTTAATAACTAGAAGCAACAAGCAGGTGTGCTTATGTCTCTTAGTGTTAATGACATCACACATCAAACTTGTCAATACAGATTTATCATTTTGTACCCCTCTAACTTAAAATGTTGCTGAACTCAGATGAATTTTCTCCAAGGGAGGAAATAAATGCCAAGTGTGAGCTGAGGCTTTGCTTCTGGATGGAGAAGGACAGCTCCGAAGGTTACTCAGATTTTAGTAGCAGCCATGAAATGTGGGCACAGAATCAACTTGCCTGGGATCTCTTGGTTAATACGCAGGGAGCAAGATGGAAATTTGAGTGCTTGTCACTTCAAAGCCCATGGTTCCCCCTTCTAAGTTCTGCTTCATTATGTGAATATATCTTTGCCTAGTTTTTCAAAAAAAAAAGCCCCAATTCTAGCATTCATGTTTGAAGTGGGGATGGGAGGGGGCGAGGTGGTTTAACACAGCAAAGCAATGTTCGGTTTCCTGCCGGAAGAGTTTATGTATTGTGGAAAAAATTAATGCCTATCTCTGTCTTGGTTCTTTCTCAGCTGTCCCAGTTTTGGATGATAGACTTGGTCAGTGGCTCTGATGAGGATCTCTAGATCTCTGGAATTATTGCTCATTGAATTATTCTCATGGCTCAGAGACTCATTGGGACGTAAATAAACAGCTCAAAATTGTTGAAGTGCCATAAACTCTGCATTCATCTCTGGAGGTGACAAAACATTGTTTGCAATGATGTGAAGTTTAGCACTTTGGTTAAACCTGGTACCCTGCTCTGCTCTACTTTAAAACAGGATGTCCTCTAAGAGAGTAACTAGTTCTTTGTTATTTTTTTTCCCACTGAAGCCCATTTAGTCCTCATACTATGCAATGACTCAAAGAAGTGGGACAAATTAGAATTATTGTCCCCCTAGTCGCTTTGAGTTGACCCATCCCCATCTCTGGTGGAGAGACTCCTAGGACATAATGCACTGAAAGTTACGTTGTGAGAGAGGAGGGTTTTCCTTTTTTCTTCTTTTTTTTTTTGTCTTGTACATGCTCCATTCTAAAGAAAAAAAAAAAAAAAGGCAAGCATCAAGGTTAAATGGAACTCACTAGCCCATTCTCTGAGAATGATGCCAGGATGAAGTTGGGACCATGATAGGAGGAAGGAAGGGAGATATGGGAGGTGGAAATAATGAAGAAATAAAGCATTTGTAAGTGGGACTGAATGAAAGTACAAAGGCAACCCTCGGGGTCAAGTAAAAGAGCATTTGCTCGTCCTCAGCGTTCTGAGCCTCTGAGTGCTGGGCTGCCCATATGACTGGGTCTCAATAATGAAGGACTGAACCAGTCCCACCAGGGTGTGTCCACGGAGAATGCGTCTTTGTTGATCATTCCAAAATCACCAAAGCAAGGAGCTGGAGCACTTCCTGTAAGAGCTGGGTATCATTTACACCTCTGGCCCCAGTGTTTTCTTCTTGACACTCCATACACTTTTCATATGCTAACCAATTTGAGGAGCCCCAGCAGGCCCTGTTCTCTTACATCTCTGTGCCTTCTGCATGCTCTTCCCTCCACTCACATAGCTGTCCCACCGATTTTTCTTGCTTCTCATCCTCAGAAACATCCGCCACAGTTCTGAAGTTGTTTCTTCAGAAAACCCTCCTTACCAAAATTGCATCAAAAATGTTGCTTTTTTTGGTTTCTCATTTTTTGCCACTAGGATTTCCTGGAAGTATTGTAATATCTGTCTGTATTGTAATACCCATTCCTGATTTACTTGCTTGTATAGTGACTTGTCCATATTTCGCCCTAGACCCCAAACACCTCAAAGCCAGATACTTATTTTCATAATGTCCATACTTCTTGTAACATCTGGCATTAGCAATGATCAGTTGCATATTAAATGAATAACTTCATGAGGCACAAGAGTTAAAACCATAGAAACTATTATATACTATAAACTAAACTTTGCTACAGAATTTAATGTAATGCAGGCACTACTTTGTGTTCAAGACTTAGGCTGATTTGAGAAAGATGAAGACAGAAACATAATTTCTCAAGAGCTGACCGCCGTTTTAGAAAGCATTTGAAAATGGCCTTCCCCTTCCACACACTTCTGTGAGGGTACTCTTGCTGCTCTGTCCAGCTTCCTAGGGAAGAAGAAAAGTGTTAAGCCAAACTGAATCATTTATAAATTGAGTACTTACCCAGACAGGGACAGATTTTTACTATTGTAAGGTTCTTTCCTTGGTGTTCTTTAACCAAGGAAACTAAGACATTTTTGAAAAGATTTTTCTTCAGGACACTAGGATTTAAAGTCCTCTCCTTATGACTCAGTGAATGTCTCTCTAGTCTTCTTCCAAGTGATTATGGGTTCTGAGAGGTTAATCTTGATTTCCTTAGATACAGAGCATGAACGAAGGTGTTTGAGTTAGAGTTTGAACACAGGAGCTTTTTTCAAAAAGCAAATACTGTTCATCTTTCCATTACATCATGTCTCATTCTTATTTCATCAAAATAGCCTCAGTGCACTGCTTCGAAAAACATAAGCATACCTTCAGCATCTGTCGTGTGTGTCCTTGACAGTATCTCTTCGTGGAACGTGCTGTTGTTCCCTTTCAGCTTTCTCTCTTGAAGTCCTCCCATTCTTTACCACTCTGTTGAAATTGCTTTTGGAGATTCTGCCCTGATGTTCCTAACTGGAATTCATATCTTAGTACCACTTGTCTACTCTGTGATGTAGTTAAGTCTTTTCATGGCTTTCTTCTGATCATCCACTCTTTCAAAACAAATACTTAGTCTTATCTACCTTTAGATCTTCCACATTACTTAAAAAGTCACTCAGGAAATATTTATAACACTAAATTATTTCTATATGTAGCAGGTGTGTCCTTTCATTCTGCGACTATGTGATAGAGAACCAAATCTTTTGGAAGGTTGTGATATGCTCCTTGAGAGCAGCAAGTTCCTGGAAACTTCTCACTGTGTTATAGAAATTACTTCCCCAATAAAAGGAGTTGACTGTGGATTACCTTCATTATCATTTACCTAAAGATATGATTGTGCTATAAAAAGAATCATTATCGAAGTCATATGCTAAGAGCTGCCACTCCATCTGTCAAACAGTACCATGAGAAAGTTAGTTGTGAGTAAAACAGACTACATTTGATAATAACTTATTAGACCCAAGAAGTTTAAATATTTAAAAACATGTATACTAAAATAAATTGTTTTAGGATCAAAGAAAGCTAATCATTCTGAAAATGTGATAAGGAACCAATTAGGGAAGTCTGATGACTCAGATCAGACTTCAAGGGGGGGAGGGCAGGCTGTTGCGTATCATGGAATTTCCTCTGACCTAATGCAAGGATGAGCATGCAATGCTCTCTAGTGTTCTGATGATATAAAAAGCCTCGGGAGCGCTCCACTCAGCACAGATCCTCAGAGAGAGCAGAGCATACAAGCTTCTTGGACAAGAGCCAGTAAAGAAGCAGAAGAAACCACCTCATCTCGTGTAAACATGACTTCCAAGCTGGCTATTGCTCTGTTGGCAGTCTTAATGTTCTCTGCAGCTCTGTGTGAAGGTAAATACATCTTTCTAACTTCACAAAGTTTCTTATACCTAAATCCGATCCTCAGGTAATAAGGCTAAAGTTCATACTTTGATAGCAGTCTTTCTATTCTGGAAAAGAAATACTCTGCATTTATTTTATGTTAAATTGCGATTTTATTTTCTTAGACTGGATCTATGTACTTAGGAAAGTATAAAGTTGATAAATACTGACATTCTATTTCTATGAGTCATACTCTGGAGTATGCATATATTTACTATAAATTTGTAATAATTGAAGATTATAGTGACCCATCATAGACCCTAATATTGAGCAAGGTAACTCAGATAGTTTTACTGCATGTAGAATTTTATTGACCAGCCTCAGATAACTATCAATTTATGTTTGGTTTGAAGACACCTCGATTATAGACCTTCTTATATAGTAGTTTAGGATGCTTTTAGCATATAGTTTTTTATAGATTTTCCTTTAAGCATTAAGGATTTTACCGGAGTTGTAAGGCACATCTGTTCCATCATCTTATATATCTCTATTAATTATTTCTGAAGACAATTTTTATATCAGATCTTAGTTTACTATAAACAGTAGGTATCATAGAGGATCACGTGATTTCAAATGAGAAAAGAAGAAGTGCCATGAGGTTGCCATGAATTCCAACTCTTTAAGCAGAGAGTTATTCAGTGCTGTCTGAAACGACTGTACAACAAAGAGCCAAGTTGAGGTCAAGGGCTAAGAGAGGATCTGGCCTTCCATGTCAGAAGCAGATTTGCTAGAAATGTGATGTTTCCCACAGTCCCTGTATAGTAATATTGAAATTAAAGAGGGGGTCCTTAGCATAGCAGTGCCTGTTGATAGAATCAATCCTTAATCACGTTTTCCCCCCACAGCTGCAGTTTTGACAAGAATTGGTACAGAACTTCGATGCCAATGCATAAAGACACATTCGACGCCTTTTCACCCCAAATTTATCCAAAAACTGACAGTGATTGAGAGTGGACCACACTGTGCAAAATCAGAAATCATGTAAGTGCTTTCAAAATGGATTTGATGTTTTGCTTTAGTAAATCTAAATTGAGGAAGATGGAGGTATCTGGGAAATTTCTAAGTACCAAGGGTACTAGTACTCGTGATGGTAGTGTGCAAAACGAAACGAAAATCTTTGTATTACATTTAAACATGGTACCTTCCATGCCTTATAACTGGAGGTTGCTTTGGACTTAAATTTTAGGCCTGTATTTAAGGAATTATGTGTTGAACGAGAAAACTCAATTTTGATATTAACCATCGCTCTTTCTCTTCCAGTGTAAAGCTCACTGATGGAAGAGAACTCTGCCTGGATCCCAAGGAAAAGTGGGTGCAGAAGGTTGTGCAGATATTTCTGAAGAAGTAAGTTGGTTTTTTAAGATTTAAATTTTCAGAAGTCCATACAGCTGCTTTAATTAAAAAATAAATAGCAAAAGTCGTTTTAGTGAGTTCCTTGTGCTTGTTCCTGGGAGACCATACTTCTGGGTTCATCCAGGAAAGTCTGGGGATATGCCTGTGTCTATCATTAGTAAAGTTGCCTTTCATCCCCAGAAAGGTTCTGTTTTGGGAGGTCTCCCTATTTATAGAGTATTTCTAACACATGAATTTTTCAAGAAAATATATTTTGGAGAAGCCTACTTTCTTTCTTATTAGAATCTTAATGATATTTAAAGTTTTATTTTATTATTTTATCTTATTTTATTTTCAGAGCTGAGAAGCAAGATGCATAAGCAAAAGAACTCTTCATGGTACCCAAGAATTCCTCAATCAAGACGCCAATGAAACTTCAAAGAACTCTACTTCAGTGCTTTACATACTGTGTGGGTCTCTTGTTGCACTGACAGATAAAATACAAGATATCTGGTTAAATTTGAAATTTAGTAAAACAACAAATACAATTTTCATTGTACTATGCAATATCTACAAAGTGGTAATATCAACAATGTATTATTTTAATATATGGCAAAAAATGTTTTAAAATTATTGCATGGGACAATGTTCAGAGAATGAAATTGAGGTCAAAGGTTAGGAGACTGTCTGGTCTTCAGTTTCAGAAATGAATTTGCTTGAAATGTAATGTTTCAAGCATCGCATGAAAGTGATAGAACAATGACATTTTCTTGCATGTTCAAATTTAACTGGAAATCTTGGATTCTTATTTGTTAAGTGTGGCAATTCTAGTCTGCTGATCAGGATCCCTGAATCTCTGTTCAACCACGCCTCAGTTTCTCCCTTATTCCTAACGTTGGCAAAATGTATCAGCCATCGTCCTGAATCTCACAGGGAAGTTGTGAGGAGAGGTGGAAGCACTTTTGTTGTCTTGCGGTATCAGCCATCGTCCTGAATCTCACAGGGATTTTGGGAGGAGAGGTGGAAGCACTTTTGTTGTCTTGTGGTCATGTGAATTATTTCCAAATGTAATTTATTGACTTATTTATTATTTATATATTTATTGAAGCACCAGCTATAGTAGTATTTGTGCATGAATTTGGAAAAATGGGGAAAGAAGCATTGTTGATAGGACAGAGTGATGATGTTATAATGACTTTATATTTATTTTAGATATTAAGTATTGTTACATTAGAGAATTTTTTTTGAGAGGTTTTTGCTATATGGCATGTGCACTTGCCAGAAAGACAGAGAGAGAGAGAGAGAAAGTGAGACATCACCCCCCCCCCCCCGGGGGGGGGGCCACACGCCATTCTATTCTCCTTTTGGGATTTTGGGCATGCATGCACATGCACCCGGCATGAGTTTAAGCCACCGGGTCCGGAACTCAAACCATGGTTGATTACATGGGAGTCCAGCAATGTAGCCATTACTCTATCTGCTGATCCTGCATTAGAGAATTTTGATCAGGATTTTCATATTTAGAAAACAAAAAATGTCATTATATTTTTATCTCAGGTAAACAACAAATGATTTTTTTAGTAAAAGCATATCATTGTGAATGTAAAATTTTTATTGAGTTGACAATGCTAGTTTGGATACTCCTGCTCTTATTTTGTCCTTACCAGCTTTGTCATGCAGAGCTGTGTTGAATTGTAGAATCCTGAGTAAGGACTATCTGTCTCAAAACTTCAAACATTCACCAGGCAATATTAGCAAAGAAATGTCTTGTTGATTAAAATTTATTATGTACAAATAGATTCTCATGATTCTATCCAATTGATTGTGCATTTTTAACATGTCTTTTCTTTAAGATGTTTTATGTGTTCCTTATTCTTTTTCCTACTGTTTTTGGTAGTATCTAAAAATAAATGTAACTATAAAACATTTAAAATATAATGTATTCTCAAAAATGTCAGGTGTTTGTCTTTATTTTACCATTTTAATTTTTTAGGAATCTTTATTTATCATGAACATTATACTTTGGTGTAGAAAACATAAATGCTTCTCCTTAGCATTTTGTATATAGAAAGTTATAAACCTTCATTGTAGAAAAACAGATCTCCTTTCTAGAAATGCATTACAGAAAATAGTGTCTTCCATAGAATGTCAGAAATCTTAAGTGACCACTGTGTACTATTTTGCTAATAAAGCTGACTTCAGATTTCAGTCAGCTAGTCTATGTGTCTTTACAATTAAGCACATTCAGGCATTTAAAGAGGATGGAGAGTATATGTTTTCAGTAATTGAGGAGTAAAATAGACTCACATGAAGCAAAGAACTTTGATAAAATATTGGGACTGGCAGGTGGTGTGATGGTTAAGGCACTGGACTCCCACATGGCCAAGCACAATTTGAATCCTGGACCTGGTGGTTTACATTCTCACTTTCCCTCTATGTCTCTCTCTGCTCAAATTAAAATAACAATAATAATAAATTAAATAAAATAAATAATGCTTTTAAAAAGGAAAGAAATATAATTGAATACCAATACATATTTGAAAACAAATCAAAAGATACTCTGAGGGGCAAGCAGATGGCAGAGTAGTTATGTCACTGGACACCCACATGGCCCACCATGGTTTGAGTCTCAGACCTGGTTACTTAAATATCATACCAGGCATGTGTACGTACGTGCCCAAGATCCAGGAGGAGAATCAAGGAGAAGGCATTGCAGTGTAACAGTCCCCTTGGAAGGGTGATTTCTCATTCACCAGGCAATATTAACAAAGTAATGTCTTGTTGATTAAAATTTCCTCTCATTGTCTGTCTCTCTCTCTCCGATGACACGCATGACCTATGGCAAAAAAACTCTAACAAAAAGAAGAAAGAAGAAAAAAAATACTCTGAAAAGTAAAAATAAAATAATAAAATTTTAAAAATCAGTGAATCAGCATAACAGATTATACACAGCTGAAAATAAAATTTGAGAACTACTTAGAAAATAGAATCAAAGAACTTTATCTGGAATTAATATCAGAAAGATAAAAAGGCAGTAAGTTGGAAAACAGAAATTTTAAAAAGCATGGAGTATATAGGAATGAGGTTTTTGAGCTCTCTAATTGTATTTTTACAAGCCGAAGAGAAATGAAAATGTTAGAGGCAACATTTGAAGTGACAATAGCCAAAAATTTTCCAGAAATGATGGGAAAAAATTTTACTTTCAAGAAACTCAATTTACCAAAGCATAACTTCACATTGCCAGTCAAAAACCAAGCATCTAAGAACTTTGATTCACATTTAACTACCTCCTAGCTCGCACGCTATTGTCATTGGCTATTTTAGATCTATTTATTATATTTTTAAATTTTATTATTTTTGTTTTAAGTTTAATCATATGTATCTTTCTTTTTCCAGCATGAGTTCTATGTATTTCAGTTGAGACAAAGACTTTATCATTAGCAAATAGCTGTTTTTTTTCTTGTCAATTAAATGTACTTGGGGGGTGGGCTGGCAGCTGGTGTGGTGGGTAAGGGTACTGGGCTCCCATATGGCTG